TGAGTCCAGGGTAAGCACAGGGATCCTTTCACAAAGGAGATGGGCAGGGAGGAGTAAGAGGAGATGGAATCAGAGAAGCAGGAGGCTGGGGTGGCAGAAGGAGAGGCCGTGAGCCAAGGAATGCAGGCAGCCTCTCGAAGCTGGGAGAGAGAAGCAAACAAGTCTCCCGGAGGCTCCCAGAAAGAACGCAGCCCACCGGCACCTTGATTTTAGACTCTTGCCTGCCAGGACTGTAAGACAATACAGTTGGATTGTTTTAAGCCATTAAATGTGTGGCGCATGTCCCAGTACGACAGGAAACAAATGTGCCCATTACAGAGCTAGAGGGGCAGGCCTGAGCTCCAGCCATCAACGCCTGCTTTTTGGAGGTTGGCAGAGAAAGGGTAGTGGGTGGCATAGCCAGACTTTTTTTTTTTTTTTTTTTAACTATAGGATACATGTGCTGGCCAGAGACAGAAAGAGAAAGTGAGATAGCACATCCCAGGAGGGTTGACCACACCACAATCCTTTCTCCTCCAAGGAGGAGGAGGAGGAGGAGGAGGAGGAGGAGGAGGAGGGAGGAAGAAAAATAAAACCTCCCAAAACATGGAGTGTGCCTTTCAAGCAGATAGACCTTTTTTCCCTGCTCATTAACCAGAATAGCCAGAGAGGCCTTCCCAGGAGAAACACGGACAAGGCCTAAGACTTCCTCCTCCTTGCCACCCCCTCCCTGTATGTAATAAGACTCCTGGGTATGGCCAAGGGTCAGGAAATCAGGAAATCAGCATGTGGCTTTGTGAAGTTTAATTAATAGCAAGTCTTCCTGTCCGGCATCATGACGGGGCCCACTTGGCTCCAGCAGCCCTCAGAACAGAAGAGTTAACATACTGCTCCCTGTTGCTACTGATGAAATGCAAAAGGCTCCAGCAACGTGGGCAGGAAAGGAGGAGCTGAGGGAAAAACATGATTCAGCGGCTGCCAGGGACAGGTCCCAGGAAGTGGGAATGGATGATGGATGAGTAAAGCCTGTGGCCTGGGCCTGACCTGTCCATCCTGTTTCAAAACTAATGAGCTACGCAAGTAAAACACACACACACGGGCACATGCAGGGTACTCAGGCAAACACAGAGACACATGCAAGGTACTCATGCACACACAGAGACACATACAGGGTACTCAGGCACACACAGAGACACATGCATGGGGACTCATGCACACACACACATGCAGGTACATGCAGGGTACTCATGCACACACAGGCACATGTGTGGGTACTCATGCACACACACACACAGGCACATGCATGGGTGCTCATGCATGCACACACAGGCAGGCACATGTAGGGTACTCGTGCACACACGGAGGCACATGCGTGGGTACTCATGCGCACACACACACACACAGGCACATGCATGGGTGCTCATGCATGCACACACAGGCAGGCACATGTAGGGTACTCGTGCACACACAGAGGCACATGTGTGGGTACTCATGCATGCACACACACAGGCACATGCATGGGTACTCATGCATGCACACACAGGCAGGCACATGTAGGGTACTCATGTATGCACGGAGACACATGCATGGTACTCATGTACACACAGAGACACATGCATGGGTACTCGTGCACATACAGAGGCACATGCATGGGTACTCATGCACACACACACAGGCAGGCGCATACAGGGCACTGATGCACACACAGAGACACATGAAGGCACATGTGTCGGTAACCATGCATACACAGAGGCATACATGGGTACTCATGCACACACAGAGACACATGCATGGGTATTCATGCACATACAGAGGCACATGCATGGGTACTCATGCATGCACACACAGGCAGGCACATGTGTGTGTACTCGTGCACACACAGAGACACATGCAGGCAAGTGTAAGAAAGGGACACAAGTCCCTAACTTCCAAAGGTGATGTGGTCAACGATAATAAAATAATCAAGTCCCTTTGTTTTTGAAGAGTGTCTCGTGCTTTCTGAAGTACTTTCACAGCTGTCACCTCATGTGCTCCCCAGTGGCCTGTCTGGTCGAGAGGACGTGTAATTACCCTGCACAGACTACACTCAGTGTTCCCAAAGGCCATCCAGTTAGCAGAGGATGGAGCTGAGACAGGAAGTGGGGTCTGACGATGCCCAGCCCAGGGCTTCAGTGCAGTAAGAAATGGGAATCCTTCTGAGGAAGAGGGCTGATGCCCAAGGGGAGACCAACCAAAGGAGGTCAGACGTGTGCACAACACTTTTAAGAAAAACTCATGTTACGAGTCATGAGTCTGAACAGGGGTGTAAAAATTATGATGTCGGTGCATCCAGAGAGAAGGGAAACCATCACACTGTGGGCGCACGTTCGAACACATCTGAGAGCGGTCTCCCAGCCTCCCCCTTCTCTCGCATCAGCCTGGATGGCAGGAAGGATGGGGTCGGGGGAGCACTGCAGACAGGAACTGGCCTGACTGTCAAGGCACTGCAACACAAGAGCTCACTACATGGAGAGGACTCTGCGTTTTACAAGTGCAAAACTAGGGCCCAGAGAGAGAAGACACCCGCCCAGCACCATGCTCCCCTGCGAGCTGGGATGCAGAGGTCTACGTGGGGTGCAGAGGTCTTTGTGTTGTACCAGCTGCCTCGGGCATCTCCTACCTTCAACTTCATCATCACCACCATCCCTACTTCACACCACAGGTCGAGGAACACCTATGGTATGGTGGGGAGTACGTGGTTTCTCCTCTTCAGTTTTCTGGGAAAAACGTACATTGTTCGTTGTTCAATTTCTTGTAGACAACAGCCAGAGAGAAGGTGGGAAAGCAGCAGTCGGTCCAGCAAGCGTTCTGTCCTCTTCCTAAGACCCCCAAGTGCAAGTAACATTATGGTCGGCCGATAATGCCCCCTGCCCACTAAAGAAGCCCACGTCCTGCACACACACACACATCCCCACAACCTGTCGGTGTTACCTGAGATGGCGAAGGGCCTTTGCTGTGTGACTAAGTTAGGGATCTTGAGAAGGGAAATTATCCTAGAACCTCCGTGAGTCCAGGGTAAGCACAGGGATCCTTTCACAAAGGAGATGGGCAGGGAGGAGTAAGAGGAGATGGAATCAGAGAAGCAGGAGGCTGGGGTGGCAGAAGGAGAGGCCGTGAGCCAAGGAATGCAGGCAGCCTCTCGAAGCTGGGAGAGAGAAGCAAACAAGTCTCCCGGAGGCTCCCAGAAAGAACGCAGCCCACCGGCACCTTGATTTTAGACTCCTGCCTGCCAGGACTGTAAGACAATACAGTTGGATTGTTTTAAGCCATTAAATGTGTGGCGCATGGGAACCAGCAGTTAGCGTAATGGCTATGTCGCTGGGCTCCCACGGGGTCGACCGCAGTTCGCGTCCTGGACCCGGTGACTGCCTGCCAGGACTGTAAGACAATACAGTTGGATTGTTTTAAGCCATTAAATGTGTGGCGCATGTCCCAGTACGACAGGAAACAAATGTGCCCATTACAGAGCTAGAGGGGCAGGCCTGAGCTCCAGCCATCAACGCCTGCTTTTTGGAGGTTGGCAGAGAAAGGGTAGTGGGTGGCATAGCCAGACTTTTTTTTTTTTTTTTTTTAACTATAGGATACATGTGCTGGCCAGAGACAGAAAGAGAAAGTGAGATAGCACATCCCAGGAGGGTTGACCACACCACAATCCTTTCTCCTCCATTCTCCTGGGGATTCTGGGCACACACGCAAAGATGCCCAGCATGTTTTTCAAGCCAATGTACTCAGGACTCGAACCACACAGTCAGCCATGTGGGATCCAGCACCCTAACCTCCGTGCCACCTGCTGGTCCAAGTCAGAAAATTTCAAGGACATCAAAGAGCACTCTGGATGGCTGTACACTAGGTACTCTGTCTTGCTTTGCAACAGAAGAATTGATCATCCTGTTTATAAGGCCCTTGAAAACCACATCTTCTAGGTGAGTGTCTTCAGAGAGCCTGTGGACTCTCCAGCCTTGCCAAGACCCTCCCTCCTCTCCATACATCCCATGCCCCGCCCAGCAGATCATGCACGGCTTCCAGAACACGGTGTGCTCACTCCGGCCTCAGGCCTCGCCCTTGCAGCTTGCTCGTTGGGGGAATGCCCAGCTCATCCTGGGCTCAGCTCAAATCCTTCCAAGCACTGTCAGCACCTGTCTTAGGGCCTTTCCTGGTTCTCCCAGTTCTCCTCCATCTTCCCCTCTGCTCCCTTCCCACCCCTGAGGGTCCCTGTCCAGGCTGGGCACATGATTTTGTAAATGTCTGTCACTAGCCTTCCTCCTTCATGCCACCAGCACGAACATGCCTGTATGTCACTAAACCACTGCCATCCCCCATCTACGCCAAGCCTTCCGGGTTCTTTTCCTATCTCTCCCAACCAAAAGAATGCAAACTAGTCCTTCTCCACCATGAACTTAGCTTGATTTCCCCAAGAATAAGTCCCACCTCTGTGCCCCACCAGCCCTCCACTCGCTCCCCAGGTAGAATACTTATCACACTCAGGGGCCGCAGCCTGGGCGGTTTCCTCATTAGACATCAAGGCCTTTGAAAACCACACTTCTTTTCCCTACGCACTCCTTCCGTACCTAGCACAGGGCCTGGTCCCAGCAAATACACAAGAAATATGCTTCAATGACAATGAGAACAAAGCCCAGAAGAGCAATGCCAGCACATCCATATTACTTTTTTTTTCTCCCAACCATTTCCTGAACTCATTCCAGGAATGCAGCTTTAATGAACAGCAGGTTCTAACAAAAGGGGTGCGAGAGAGCTAAATGCAGGGTGGCATTTTTTTTTTCTTTACAAGACAGGGAATGATGCAGAGAGAGAAATGGCTTCTCATTGTTTTATCTCCTACAGAGAAAATAATTCACTTCTCCTGGAACCTAACATCCTGGCTTCATCTTCGAAAGGCACCACTTCACTTTCCTCACGAGGCAGACACACATTTTAACCCTTAAGCCCTTGACGGTCACATGATTTCTTCAGTGAGTCCCAAGGCTTCGCCAAGCTTTCCTGGAGCTTCCAGCTAAAGGAGTCCTGAGGTTTCAAATATTAAAGCTTTCTCCACAGCCACAAGTTCCTTTGATGTTTAGGTTATTGAACACAAACTCGCTGGATAATTTGTCTTCAACATAGTCCATTTCTGTTCCTAAAAGTGTTAGCTGTGCTAGGTTACTGGACACAAACTCACTGGGCCATTTGTCTCTGACATAGTCCATTTCTGTTCCTAAAACTGTTAGCTGTGCTTTCTTTTCGATGGACACTCTCCATCTTGAACAACTTCTTCATCAGAATCTCCCTTTGTCTTTGAATAGTCTAAAGTATAAGAAAGGTCATTACATGGGACCAGCAGTTAGCGTAATGGTATGTCGTTGGACTCCATGTAGTCCATCGCGGTTCGAGTCCCGGATCCAGTGGCTTAAATTCACACCAGGCACATGTGCGTGCGTGCCCAAGATCCCAAGAGGAGAATGGAGAAGGGACTGCAGTGTGGCCATCCCCCCTGGGGGGTGATTTCTCACTTTCTGTCTCTCTGTCTCTCTCTGTCTTTCTGGCAAGTACATGCGCCCCATAGCAAAAACCTCTCCAGAAAGAAAAAAAAAAAAAAGAAAGGCCATTACAGCCCCTGGTCCGGACACCAACCTTCATACATACACACTCAGGTTTATCTTTAAGAAGCTGTTTTCTTTTCTCTGTGTGCTTCAGCGTGAGGGCGGCCCGGGTGGGCTGCAGCTTCCTCTTACTCACAGCCCAGACAGTGGCCCGAGCTAACGAGGCCGACATCTTCGCGGTCCCGGCGTCCCGGAACCTCAGGCTGAAGCTCCCACACCTCAGCCTCTCTCCATGGACACGGCCGGCCCCTATTACTGTTTACATTTTAATTTAATTTATCATCACTATTACTCTTAGAGACTGGGTCTCACTTGTCAGCCCTGCTTCAGCCTCTCGCCTGGAACTGCAGTACAGGCTGCCATGCACAGCCTCTCTCCCCCTAAAACGGCCTCTAAATTACGTCTCCAGGCCAGCCTCAAGCCCATGATCCTCTGCTCAGCTTCCTGAGCCCTGAGGTCACAGAGGCCACCATGCCCAGCCAGCTCTATCACTGAAGCCTGGGATCCAGAGGCCCCTCAGCAGCAGATGCTGTTCTATGAAGGCTTTGCAGGGCAGAGTGTATCTAGGGTTCGGTGTGCTTCTTCTGGACTTTCCACTAAACTTCAGAATTCACGGCAGAGCCAGATCGGCATGACTATGTAAGAGCAAGAGCTGGGACCAGCAGATGACATAGCAGTTATATCGCTGGACTCCCACACAGTCGACCACAGTTTGAGTCCCGGACCCGATGACTTGAAAATCACACTGGGCGCATAACCAGGATCTCAGGACGAGAAAGGACTGCAGCATGGCCATCCCTCCTGAGGGGACGGGGGATGATTTCTCACTTTCCCTCTTACTGTTTTTTTTTTTTTTTTCCTTTCTCTCTCTCTGACAAACACATGTGCCCTAAGACAAAAACAAAAACAAAAACAAACAAACAGAAAAACCCTTCGGAGTAAACATTGGAGAAACAGTCATTTTCCACCTCAGATAAAGAAGTATTTGTGTACCAAACTTAACTTAATTCCCAAGCATTGCCTTCAGCTTTGAAAAAGGCCACAGTGTGCCAGCCAGGTGGCATCGTGGTTAGGGCAGCTGGATGCCACAGGCCAACTGCACAGCTGAGTCCCAGACCTGGTGGCTTGAAAAACACACTGGGCATGTGTATATGCGTGTCCAAAATCCCAAGAGGAGAACGGAGGGAAGGGGACTGCTGCATGGCCATACCCCCAGGGGGTGATTTCTCACTTGCCTGTCTCTCCGGTTTCTCTCTCTCTCTCTCTCTCTCTCTCTCTCTCTCTGGCAAGTGCACACGCCCTTCAGCAAAACTTAAAAAAAAAAAAGAAAGAAAGAAAAAAGAAAAAGAAAAAGATGAGAGAAGAACAAGTCGGAGAGGAGCAGAGGAAGTGTGGACGTGGGATTGAGCCTGACTCCTGGGGTTGCTGTCCAGGTGACCCTGATGCAGACAATTACTCTGACCTGTGAGCCTGTCATCTGCCGACAGGACAATGCCGTCTACCCCTCAGGTGCGTTGAAGAAGTCTTACGTGCCGCCTGTAGGACAGCCAACGTGCCAGCTCGTGACAGCCCCCTCCGGAGCGCTGACGGAGTACTCTGCCAATTATCCGTTCACAGCAGCCCATGAGGCAGGCGTGCTGCTCCCCCGGTGAGGGAAAAGTAAACCGACGTCAGCGGGACACAGGCGGGTGAGTGCCAAAGCCAGGTGGAGGCTCCGACCCCCCACTTCAGCAGCTGAACGCTACCATACATGCCAGCCTCCCAGGATGCTTCAGTCCTGTCCTGTGTTATCCGCATTTCAAAACACTGGTGATTGGGGCCAGCAGGTAGCGTGGTGGTTGGCGTGCTGGACTCCTACATGGCCAACCACAGTTTGAATCCCGAATCTGACAGCTTGCTTTCTCACTTGCCCCCCTCCCCCCTCTCTGTCTCTTTCTGGTAAGCACATATGCCCTATAGAGAACTTAAAAAATAATAATTAATTTAATTTAGTTAAGAAAAACAAAACACACCGGTAACTGAGAGCAGGTCACCATCTGCTCCTGGGATGTGGTCTGCACAGCCTGCACAAGAGTACCTTGACCCAGCCTGACCTCCCAACAAGAAACCAGACCTATTTCCCTGGGAGGTTCAAGAAAGCCGCCCTCTTCAACCTCTTCCTGCCCCCAAACACCTGAAGGATGTGTGCCACATTCCCCTGTGGAAACGGGGCCACGGTTTCCACAGCTGGGACTTCCGTGCCCAGGTACCTGGCAGTGTCCACAGTGGAGGGGAGCGATGTGACGCTGCGGAGAAGACTGCTTCCCTGCTGCAAGACCTGAATGAAAGCCAGACGCGTCCCATTCCCCCATGCCAGTCGGCCAACACAGGACGGATGACCAAAAGCTAGCAAATGCGGCAAGTGTAAGAGCCCACTGGGAGGACAGCCTGCCAGGCTCTTCGGCAACCAGACTGGTCAAGAAGTTACCTGATCTCTTCACATGGAAGTGAGTGCTGCTCTCACACCCTGTCTGTGTGGAAGCTGAGCTCAGCTGGCCAACAGACTGTGTACGTGTGTGTTGCACTAGACAGGGTCTCACTGCACCTCGACGCCCCTGCCTCGGCCTGCAGCGTACTGGGACACACACCACACCTGGGTTTTAGGGCGGACCAGTTAGGGAACCTGTGTCCCCCACGTGGCCTCAGCCTGCCCACCGTGGCTGGGTCTCCGGCCAGCAGACATTTACAGCATGCTTCTTTAGGGTTTGTAGTTGATCTATGGGAAACATGTGGATACCACTGACATGAGACATTTCGGGAACGGGGAGGAATCCATCTTAATTTCACTGTTGGGGGGGCCGTGTGTTCAAAGCACTTGAACAGACATTTTTCCAAAGAGGATTTATAAATGACTAAAAAGCACATTAACATCACTAATTAGTAGGAAAATGAAAATCAAATAAGCTATCATTTCACAGTCATTAGAATGGGCAGTATTAGGAAAACAGAAACAAAAACAGAAAACAGCAAGTGCTGGCAAGGACGTGGAGAAACCAGACACCTTGTGCACTGCTGTGGGCATGTCCATGGGCAGGCCACTGAGGAAGACTGTAGCAGTTCTTCCAAACATTAAAAACGGAATTACTGCATGATCCAGCTCTATCACTGCTGGAAATCCACCCGAAATAACTGAAAACAGGATCTCTAAAAGATATTTGTATACGGGGTTCACAGCAGCATCATTCACAGTCACTGAACTGTGGAAGCAGACTGAGTGTCCACGACAGGTAAATGGGTAAGCACAATGCAGCCTGTACACCGGAGGCAGAAGCAACACACCCTTACGCGCGAGGGCATGCTGACAGGTTATCAGATAAACCCTGAGGACATTACGTGAGTGACATAAGCTTGTCACAAAGAAAGAAAGACTGTATAACTGCATGTCCGTGAGATATACCTACAGTAGTCCAATCATGGAAGCAGAAAGTAGAAATGGGGTTGGCCAGTCCCCGGGGCTAGGGAGAAGGGGGAATATGGTATATATGGTTTCAGTTTGGGAAGAGGAAAAAAGTTTCAGAGATGGATGGCAGGGAGAGTTGCCTAATTATGTGAATGTATTTAATGCCACTCACTCATCTGTCCACTTAAAAATGGTTAAGATGGGACCAGCACAAGGCATAAGGGTTATGTTGCTGGACTCCCACGTAGTCAATGAGGTTTGAGTCCCAGACCCAGGGACTTAAAAATCACACCATGCGCATGTGCATGCGTGCCCAAGATCCCAGGAGGAGAATGGAGGAGAAGGAATTGTGCCCCTTGGGGGTGACGATTTCTCACTTTCTGTCTGTTTCTTCAGAGAGTACATGCACCCTATAGCAAAAATCTCTTTCCAAAAAAAAAACGGTTAAGATTATAGATTCTGTGTTATGTGTATTTTAACGCAGCTTTTTAAATTGTATGAAAAAGAGGGAGAGCTGCATAGCAGGGACTCCTGCCAGCACCCTCCGGTCTAGAGGTATCCATTTCCAAACACTGAGGGAGGGGGGCAATCTTCCTTCCCACGGAGTGCCTGAAGTTTCACAGGTGTGAGCTGCAACCCCACTGCCAGCACCGTGGGACTCCTCTAACACTCTCCCCCTTCCCATTCAGGTATCACAGGGGCCACTTGGTTGAATGCAGTGTGAAAACGAGAAGCAGCTGGCAGAGACCTACTGGCTGGATCCCAGTGCACAGCCATTCCAGGCTGCCATCTCCTAAGTCGCAGGGGATGCCTCCCCACGTGGGAGCCACACTGAGAATGGGCAGGTGGCAGCTCAGGTCCTAGGACCTTGGCTGTGCCCAAATTGTGCTACTTCCAAGTCCTGCCCTCCTACAGCGAACCTTGGTTCCCGACACTCTGCCTTCCTGTGGGGCCCCAGTACTCCACCAGATCCATCTGCTGTACATGAGTTCCAACTAGAACTTTCTAGAACACACTCTGTAACACCAGCCTTACACCCATAATTGAAATAATTACAATTACAATTTATTGAGCATCTGCTACAAATTAGACAATAAGAAGGCATCATTTCATGCAATTACTCAACAACTCCACATGTAGAGTATTAATATTCTCATCTAAAAAATGAAGCCCTGGGAGCTCAGAGAAGATAAAACTTCCTAAGTCCAAAATCCTTGAGAGAGCGTTAATAAAGACTGATCTTATTTTTCATGCTTTTTGGAGAGGGATTCATAGTGTGTGTGTGTGTGTGTGTGTGTGTGTGTTTTAACAAGAAAGAGGCCTGGTATGGAAGCAAGTGGACTCAAGAAATTTTCAGATATAGTTCAGCCAAGTAAATTCTTTCTTTCCTTTTCTTTTCTTCTTCCTTTCCTTTTCTTTCCTTTTCTTTCCTTTTCTTTTCTAAGATTTTTGCCATAGGATGCATATACACTCCCCGGAGAAAAACAGAAAGGGAAAGTGAAAAATCACCCCCAGAGGGGATGGCCACACCACAATCCTTTCACCATTCCCCTTTTAGGCATACACACACACACACACACACACACACACAAACACACACACCTGGCATGAATTTCAAGTTGCCAGGCCCAAGATTTGAACCACAGTTGGCCATGTGAAAGTCTGACACCTTAACCACAATGCCGCCTGCTGACCCCTAATTATTTTTTATTTATGAGAGTACCTCTCTCTTT